ATGATGGTTGGAAGATTCATTCAGGATGGGAGATGTGTGCTGAAAGTAGATAAAGGACCAAACATGACAGCCTCTCAAAATCTATATTGCAAACCATAATGCCCAAAAGTAGAGAAAGAGTATGGAGGTAATTGTCTGACATGGAGGCAGGAGGAGAGTTGGAAAGAGGGGGGAGGGATACTGGGGACATTGGTGGTGGAAAATGTGCCCTGGTGGAGGGATGGGTGTTTGATCATCGTATGACTAAAATTCAAACATGAAAGCTTTGTAATTGTATCTCAAAGTGATTCAATTAAAAAAAAATTTAAAAAAAAGAGCACTCCAAAGGCCAGAGCACCGGTTTTATGTGCAAGAGGCCTGGATTTCAATCCCCTGCACTGCATGGGCCCCAAGCAGGCATTGGACCAGAAGCATTCCCCCCTAGTATACCCCTGCCAGGTATGCCTCCCAAAGCAAAAACAACCCCAAATTTTCAAATAAGCACCGGAGAATTGAAATATCTCTATTAATACCACTGATAGGGCCCTCTGGGAAGGAGGCCCGCGTTGAGAGCAGCGGCACGCAGAACCACTGCAGTTTCTGCTGTGTGGTCAGAGCAGTGTAGAGAGACAACATGCCGCCTTGAGAAAATCTCCCAGAATAATCCCATTGAAAGGGATGCCGTTCTTCATCTCTTGGTCCATCAACGCTCTCACACTTTCTGCTGCTTGTTTAATTCCATGTTTTCTCGTGAATTGGGTGAAAATCCATTGATATGAAACCAAGAAACATAGTCATGTTCATATTTAATGTTATCGGCATAATAGTTATTTCCTTTTCTAGTTCTTGGCTAGTTTAAGAGATCTGTATGGAAAGAAGGAAAATACAGGATTTGTCTAAGTGTCCACTCAACTCAATTCAAGTATGTGAATTTAGGGAATCATCCACATAACCAAAGATCCCAAGATTGGTTATTCCCCTGAGCAAAACAAAAAACAAAAACAGTGTAGTTCTTAGACTATAATGGGCTGCATACATGCACCCAGAGATACTAGAAGGGCAAGGAAGAATGGAACGAAGAGGAACATATGCAGAGCCAAGCATGCACTCTCTTCTTATAGCTGAGTAGTATTCCACTGTACATATATATCACCGTTTCATCATCAGCTTTTCTGTTGTTGGACATCTGGGCTGTTCCATATCTTGACCATCATAAATAGCACTGCAATTCATAGATGTGCTTGAAGTTAATGTCATGGTGGTCATGACTAAAGTGTTGATGTTTACGGTGTATATTCAAAGGTGTACAAATCCTGGGCCATAGGGTTATTCTATTTTTTTTTAATTTTTTAAAAATTAAAAGGCTGTTTTCTATAAAGGCTGACCAGACAATAGTCCCATTAAAGGTGAATGAAGATTTCTTTTTCACTACTTCCCTGCAAATGCTAGTTGTTTTGTCTTTTAGATATATGCTATCCTTATTGACAGGAGGAGCTATCTCATTATTTTGTTTTGCATTTCCCTGATAATAAGTGATGATGAACACTTTTACATATATACATTGGCCACCTTTTTAATGAAATATCTTGTCTTTAAGGAAATGTCTATTTATTCCTCCCCACTTTCTGATAGGGTTATCAATCAGTTTGCGCTATTGAGTCTGTGAGTGCTTCAAATATCTTGAATCTGAGCCCCTTGTCAGTTATATGGTGTGCAAATATTTTCTCTTAATTAATCAGTTGACTTTATTTCAGTCATATTTTATTTTTCATTGCAAATAATTTTAATTTTATGAAGTTCTGTTTATTTTTGCTATTATTTCTTTTTTTTTTTTTTGCTAAGGAAATCAAATCATTGAAGACATCTCTGAAGTTGATACCGTGAATAGTTCTGCCATTTTTTCTTCAATGTTTTGATGGATTCAAATCTAATGTAGAGATCTTTAATCCATTTTGAATCAATATGTGTATGTTGTGAGGTAGGAGTCAATTTTTTCTTTTTTGCTTTTTAGGTGGGGGAGAGAGTGGTTTAAGAAATATACCTCAGGCAATTTTCAGAACCTAAAGTCCAGTATCTGCAATAATGCCAGAGCTTTTATTTCACTTCTTTATTTCATTTATTTAAATTAAGTGTTCTGTCTAAAACAAAATAAATATACGTTCATTGTACAAAATGTAGAAAAAGACAAGTTTTCACCTAAATTTGCTTGTAGTTTTATTTGCATACAATACATTGCACAAAACTTGATTACATACTGCACAAACATGTTTGCTTTTATTTTTCTTGGTAGAATATTATCACTTTTCCCAGTCAAATAAAAATATTCTTTGACTATCAGTCAATCCCTGCATACCATTTTATCATAAACATACACAGTAGCATGCAGAGCAAACATACACACACTTAAGTATTATATATCATCTATATCTATCTATAAATCTATTTATCCAGAGATGCAGTCAGGAGTTAAGAAGATCTGATGGGGACCCAGTTTCCTTAGTTGAAATAAATGCTCTGGTGTCATTGCAGATACTGGGCTATAGGACCTGCAAAATTATCTGAGGTACAGGACAAGCTATGGAGGAAATCAATAGAGACACACAACTGCAGTGTCTGAACAATCGGAGTGGCGGAGTCTCTGAGCAGTCCTGTGGGTCAGTTGAAAACCCTCCAGAGCTGGGTGGCAGTTCCATGGTGTCAGGACCCAGGAGTCACCTCTAGGCTGGAAGCTGCTCCACTGGTCCAGACTCCTCACCCATGTGGCCCGGGGTAGCCAGTCATCACATACACCTTCCCATCCACAGGAGGAAGAAAAGGAGAAGAGGAAGAAAGGACCTGCTGTTCTCAGGGCACCACCTAAGAATTCCATCTCTTCTGCTCACTAATATTGGCAAGCACTTAGCCAAACAGCAATGCCTACATGTAGGAAGAAGCTGTAAAATAGAATCAGTTCCCCAAATTCTGGATACCTAAAACTTTTCTTCCTATAGAAAAAAAAAAAGAAAAGAGAACTAATGTAGTATAGCATGAGACTTGTGATATTGATTTATGTCATAGTGTGATTTAATCCTAGGGACCCTATTACTACCTCATTTTAAGACTCTAACATGATGAATATATCCAAATTTTGTAAAGGTAAAGGTAAAGGCTCTCCCGTTGATCGTCGATTTGCTCGAGCAGGCCCAGTAACGTCTCCGTTGGAGACTTTGTTGTTACTGTGTCTGGCATATCGAATACTCTCGGTAGCTTGCCGGGCTCTCCGAGAGGGGCGGAGGAATCGAACTTGGGTCGGCCATGTTGGCCGCTTGTAAGGCGAACGCCCTACCCGCTGTGCTATCGCTCCAGCTCCAAATTTTGTAGTAAAAAATTATATTGTGATAATTTATAATAATCATACAACCAGATATAGATGGGCAGAACAAGAAAATATGATTTCTAGATTTTTTAAGAGACAAACTTTTTTATTTTGCATTTTAATTTAATTAGTTAGGTCACATGTTTACAATAGTGTTAATGTTTATGACTTTGATGTACACAGCTACTGCACCTCATTACCGCCAAAGAGCTCAAGACCCTCCACCAAGAGAATATTATTTTAATAAGATTATTATGATATATGTAAATAACATATCCCTTAAATTCCAAAAATATACACGTTTTTATAAACCAATTCCATTATTAAACTTGTCAGATTTATATTGTAAACATGTTCTGATTCTGTTCTCCTCTAGTCATAGTCTCATGATCAAAACCATTAAAATTTTTTCAAAAGCAAGGGACTAGGGAGGTGGTTCAGAGTGGTAGAAAACATGTCTTGTTTGTATGAGAGAGTGGATTTAAGATATTTCCAGTACTGTAAAGCATCTCTTAGAGTGGCTCTGGTCCTCTGGCACTACTGAGTATGGTCACCACAATAGGAGGGGAGCATTATTCCAGAGAATAACAGTGTTCATAAATTCAAGCACATTCACACCTTATATAAATTCACCAAAAATGAGACCCTCCCACAACACTCCTGGTTTTCCACTGAATTCCATAAGTCTTAGAGATAACATCTTTTGTAAATTTGTACTCAGATTGTGTTAATCTACTTAGCGCCATTTACCAGTTGCTTTTGACCTCAAGATAGCACCCCAATTTTAAGCTCCCAGGAGTCACCAAGATAAGATCTTTAATACATATCATTTCCCCATCTGTAAACTTTCCTTCTTTGCAGAATAACTTGGGAAATTTAGTCCTACCCTTTCCTGAGAGCAAAAATGCAAACCCAATAGTTGAAAACTTTTTCTCTGTGTCTATTACATGCAAACCTATTTCCTCACACCTTTTTCTTTCCTCTCACTTCTCTCTAAAACTGTGAATCTCAAGACTCACATTAACCATTTACCCACTGTTAAATCATTACTTCTGAAGGTTCTCAGACAGATCTCAGATGTCACAGGTGAAGTAAACTATAGGCATATTGGCTATAATGATAGAGAAACTATATTTATACTTCATTTAAATTTAAAATGCAATTTCCAATATTTAAGTATGCATGCCCCATAAGAGATGTTCATGTACCTAACTTTCAAATATTATCCAAACAATTGCCTCTAAGGTGTGGGTGAAACAGCACAAAGGCCAAGGGGAAGTGCTTAGCATGCATGGGCTCTCTGTTCCCAGACTCCTAGCATAGCAAGTCCTGTCCCCGCACCACCTGGTGAATCCTTAGGGACCCTGAACATGGCTGGGTAGATCTGGTGATCTGTAGCACTGCTGAACCTGAGAAACACCTCATATTCTAATTTTATTTCTAAAGTCATAAGTCTTTACTTCTAAAGTCCTTGAACTGACTATCACCAGGAGTGACCCCCAAGACTTCTAAACACTGTTCGGAAGTCTCCACACCCCACACTCAAACACACACACACACACACACACACATTGGACATAATGATAATTTATTACAAAAATGAAACCCTTAGATTTCTGGAAATTCTAAGCGAAAATCTTAACCCCAACAATGTGAATTCCAGCCACTATTGACCCCTGAACCTGTTGAAACAAAGAAACTGCTTTGCTTTGTGTTTCAGGTTAGGGTTTGTGAGAATAATGAGAACAGAATGTCCTGGATGGTAAAGGGTAGTAAGTGCCACACAAATGAATCTGGTTCTCAAATTCATCCCCAAAAAGTAAGGTAAATAAAGGAACAGGGTGGCAACCGAGTACGGGATGTAGAGGATGAGGAAACAGATCATCAGCTTCATGGCACCCACATGTGCTTCTGTCTGGGGATTCCAAAACTTGGTAGCACTTCGCTGCATCTTCTGTATGTGTCTTCTCAGGGAATATATTAGCAAGGAAGCCAACATCACATTTGTGATAAACTGCAGAGATGAGCTCAAAACATAGGAGATCAGAAAAAATAAAATATCCTCTTTCAGGCCTAACTCTGTGCCATTTTTCCCAACCACGAGTATTGGGGAGGGTGAAGTCAGTCTGAACACAATATATATGAGGGAAATAAGGGCAGAAATCAGCACAGAGGCCAGCAGCAGCCCAGGGATCTTTGGGGAGAAATTTTGTTTCAGCAGGAGAAACACTGAATATTGGAAGTTAGAAATCTTCACACAGTACAGAGTGTTCAGCAAGGTCACAAAACAAAGAGTACAGAAGTCCAAAAATATCCAGCACACCAAGAAGAAAGTAGTTGCATGAACTGACCTGAGAAGACCAGGAGTGACGGAGAGGCAGAAGATATTTAAGAAAAACAGTCCCATCATAAGAAACCGGGCAATGCCCAAGCTGAAGAGGATCTTGTCAGAAGAAACAATTCTATGTCTTTTCATCCAATTCTTACAACTGAAAACTGCAATAAACAGACTTGCAATGAGTCCCACAAAATCAAAAAACATGGAAATAAAAATAGCACATAAAGATGTACAGATATCATTGTTTTGACACATTGGGGAATTCGGTAACTGCAGTACTGATGCACAGGACAAGAGAAACACTGAGATGTACAAGTTGATACCAACATCCAGCAAAGAAGTTCAATTGTTTTTGCCCAGTGGCAAAAGAACTATCAGTGTTCTGAGAGACAGCTGCTTTTCCTGAATGCAAATCTTCCATGGATTCCATTACTATCTCTTCAATCATATCCTACTTTCCTTAGAAATGACTCACTCAAGCATCTTGGAGTCCACTCCTTGGAAACAAAGATAGCTCTATGAAAAGACATAGCCAAACATTTCCAATCAAATGAGAATGTTTCATATCTATTGATATGATAGATTGATATGATAAACCCCTATTTAGAACAGTATCTTCTTTCTTCATATCCAGTCAGGGACAGATAGAAATGCCCAATTCCTACTCACCCATATACTATTCACACATCCATGTATTTACAAAATCTAAACTCTCTCTTCTCTAATCTTGACACTATAACTACTTTCTCAAACCATGATGCCAGAAAAGTCAACATAAATCTTTCATCCCTTTGCACCTGCAGTAAATTCCAGCCATCCAATAGTAGATTAATATCAAGGACCTCCCAAGCCCTTTTCTTAAAAAAAAAATCTTTTGCTTTTAATTCCATTCTTTTATGAAGATTTCTTTACTTAGCATTTCCTCATGAGTCACACAAGTTTATTCACATCACAGTCATTTGCTGCATTGTGCTTTTCGTAAGAAAATTTCTTCATTTATTGGTCAGTCATTTATTTCCTTTACTGATGCAGGTTGATACTTAGACCACACATGCTATTTCCTTTTTAGACATTTATCTACCAAAGGACTCTGGAACCCAATACACAGGAATGCTTCATAAAGTGTTTTGTATCAAATAGCTGTTTAATTGCTTTATTTTTCTGTAATTTCCTAAGTGTAAAGGACAACATGTGTCTGGAAAATAATATTACTAAAGACCAAAATAAGAACAGAAGTATAGCACCTCCTGTCTACTCTAGCTGGTGAGTGAAACCAAGGTGCAATACTGGATACAATGACATCTAGGTTACAAAATGTTGTCAAGAGAGAGTATGTAAAGTTCTATTACAAATCCACATAGGAACAGACAAGATTAAGAACTAAAAGTTGAATATTTCCAAGGCACAAGGTGGTGGTGGGGTTCTATAAGTAAGGCTCCTGAAATCAAAACCAGAAACTAAAGCCTGGAAAAAAATCCCTGAGCTGGAACTCAGGTGCTTACAAAAGCGCTTTTGTATAAGAGAAGGGACACGGAGTGATGAAGAGATGATATAGTGGACAAGGCACTTGGTGTACATGTGACCATCCTGAGATTTGATACCCAGTACCCCATATGGTGCCCCAAGAACCGTCAGGAGTGATCCCGAAGCATAGTGTCAGGAGTAAGGCTTGAGCACTGATAGTTTTTTACAAGGTCTATAGGGTTTTTCTGAGCTTCTTGTGGTAGCTATATTGTAACATCTGTAGGCTAATATCTCACTATTGTACCTTGTTCCACCTTCTGTAAAGTTGTTGCAAGTACAGCAGGTGAAAGTCCCAATTTTCTCCCTCTTAGAGAACTGGTTGATAGCTCCCAGTTTTGAATCAGTGGAAGCAAAGAAAGCACACATACAGAACCAGCCTCAAATTCTAGCAGGGCAAGCAGATTGCAAAGAACTAGGAACTCTCTCTGGAATCCAGAGGAGGCAAGGACACATTTATCCACGTGAAGCAGAGAGCATCTCATCCCTCTCCCACACATCTGAACCAGAGTCAAGGAGCAAGTAGGACATTGGATGTATGAAAGATTTTCTTTTTTAAATCTAAAGAAACTCAATATTTTCCTGAAAACATTCTTTATCTCATTGGATTACCCATCTCCTGGGCTGGAGCGATAGCACAGCGGGTAGGACATTTGCCTTACACGCAGCTAACATGGCTGACCCGAGTTCAATTCCTCCGCCCCTCTCGGAGAGCCTGGCAAGCTACCGAGAGTATCTCGCCCGCACGGCAAAACCTGGCAAGCTCCCCGTGACGTATTCTATGTGCCAAACACAGTAACAAGTCTCACAATATTACTGGGTCCGCTCGAGCAAATCGATGAACAATGGGAGGACCGTGATCCATCTCCTATCTCTGCCTCTCTGTCCCCATATCAAGGGTGCTTGAAGTTGCGGGGGTGGGCTCTCCCCCTGGCCACCTAGGTTCTGGGGGACCAGGACTGCTCCCCCAGCCAGATGGCGGGGGAGACGAGAGCCAAGCCAGTGGATTGATCAGATGCTGTTTTTTCCATTCTCATCCCCATTCACTCCTGTCTCTCTCTCTCTCCTTCTCTCCTGGACCCTGATCTGGAACCCATCTCTCTTTCTGGCTCTGACTCTGGATCTCCCTATGATCTTCTCCCTCAGCCCACTCTTATAGTCTAGTTAAATCCCCAAAACCTTGAGGACTGGGCTTACACGTAGGTGTGGTCACAATCAATAGTATTAAAGTTATTTCCCGCAGGGGATGCTGCCTCTAGGATGGATTCTCTTGCAGCAGGACCACCCACCCAAGGCCGGAATTCCATGGGTGTGTTTTTCCTCTCCTTGTCCAACAAACATATAAACATTCATAATATTAATCATTTTGTATGAACACAGTAAGAGATGCATTAAACTTATAGAATTGCTGTCCTGGGGTCATCTTGATCTCAGACCACAGTGCTCAGGCCAGATTAGTCTTTCCTATCCCTAGCAGGGTCCTAGTCTCATCATTACTTTTGGATCATGACAGCATTTGTCATGCTCTTAACTTATCGGTAAGAATTGTGGCGCTTTAACCAGGCCCATCTCCATGCCAGGGTAGCACATAGCTTACCGCTTGCCCTGGTTCCATCCAGTCCATCGTTGAGACCCTGCTTTTGGGGGAGCTAGGCAATGAGGGCAACTGAGGCTTAAGTTGAGAAAGCAGATGCCCAGAAAGGAATAATATTCAAAGTCAATTAAATCCCATGTTACAAAATCATAATATTAATTATCTTCTTGTGTCTATACAAAAAAAAAACATTGCTTTAAAGTAACCTATTCAAAAGACGTAAGGAGAGGAGAAAGGCAATATTAACTTACAATATAAGTTCAGTGTCCTAGAACATCTTATTATCTCATTCCTACTTTGGACAAACTGGCAGACTACCGAATGTAACCTGCCCACACGGCAGAGTCTGGCAATATGCCAAATACCAGTACCAATATGCCAAATACCAGTACCAATGATGGGCCTCATTCTCCTAACCCTGAAAGAGCCTTGAATATGGTACTTTTTAAAAAAATCTCAGGGCTAGGATGAAGGAGATGTTACTGGGGCCTGCTCGAGGGAATCGACGAACAACAGGATGGTCGTGATCGTGATCATCCTAGAAAGATCTGACCTTACAAATTAACAGAAACTGATTAGGGGAATAAGCTGATTAACTGTTTGAGAGAGCATAGGGAAGTAGTTACAAATAAACGAAAGAATGGGAGTGACTCAGGAGCACTGGGATGGGTGCGACCCGATAAACCTAAACTGCCCGAGGAAGGACAAAACAGTGTTATCCTACAGACCTGATCTATCTCTTTCAGAACCGTTTATCTATCTTTCAGATTACTCTGAAAGGTACTCAGGGTTCTTACTATACCCTCTGCCCCTCTAAGGGGCAAGGGATTCCTTGGATCCAATCTCAAGTTGACAAGTCTCACACCAAAGCATCTTTACAAATGTCTGTTTCAGTTTGTTGCTTCCTAAAATAATAATAAATGAGTGACCAGCAGAATAAAACACTGAAAATACTTCTGCAATCATCTTAACCTTTGTTGGTCCTGGTAGGAAAAATCTGAAAAATGAAAGTAAAATGAAAACGTAATAAAGTAGAAAGAGAAAGATAAAGGAGAAAATGATTTTGGTGGCTTTCTTATGGGCCTGTGTAGTTGTATCTCTGGAGTTGGTTCCATGTAGCTGCATCCGCTGAATGTGCCTCCCCAGGGAGAGGAGGAGCAGAAAGTAGGAGACCAGCATCACTATTAGGGAAGGGAGGTCCCAAAGAATTCCAAGTGCATGGACCAAATCATATTTACTTTTTTTCCTAAATTGCTCAGACACATTTCCTGTGCTACTGATTTCACTAGTAGCAACACGGATCTTAAATTCATGGATCCGAGACAAAGCACTGGCACCAGACAAGAGCACTGCAGCCAGTAGCATCCCAAAAACCATCTTGGAGACTCTCCACTTGAGCCAGAGGAATGTAGGGTTGGAGAAACTGGCAATTTTCAGGCAGTAGAGGACACTGAGGCAGGTGGCAAGCCAAATGCTCAGACCGTTTGAAAATGTCCACAAAATTCCCAGCATTTCCTTTATAATCGTATCACCATGTACTTTGGTAGGTAACACCAATAAAGCGCTATCTATCAGGAGAAGCCAGAGCAGAATAATCCTAGAAAGAGCCAAGAGAGTGATGATAAAGTCCGACAAAGAAAGTTTCCTGTTCTTGAACCAGCTGCCACCATTGATCAACCCAATGAAAACGTTTCCCAGTATACCCAGGAGAAACGGAATGATAACCAGAATCATGAAGACCTGCTCTGTGAGTCCCAACATGTCACCTAACTGATCTTTGTTCCTTTCGTTGATGCACACTCTCATTCCTGGTTTGAAATCTCTCCCTGTGATTCTGTCACATCCACCGTTGCTTCACTGTTACTTGTCTCTGCCCAGCTGTGGCTGGTGTAGAACAGCTTCATGAGTCCTCTCTGACTTCACTGATCACATAAATTGTCGCTTTAAATCTATGCTCTAAAGTCAGCAGCACCTCTTAGCTAGCATGCAAATATAGTAGGAGTCAGTGTCACACGCTGAGGAAGAGATCTGCATCACAAATCTGGAGTTGATGGATAACTTGGGCACAGTTTCAAAGGGAGCAAGGCTCTGTGCCACTCAGAAAAGATGATAGAAGAATCATATAGATGCTAAATAAATAAATATATATGTACATAATAGAGGACTAATATCCACAGTCAGGGAAAATAGGGGCTAGGGGGATTGGTCAATGCTTGGAGTCAACCACAGTTACATGTAGGGTGGAGGGTAGGTAAGATAGAGAAGGGACCAGTATAATAGCGAGAAATAATCACGCTGGACAAGAACTGAGTGTTAAATATAGGTAAAGGGATATACCTGATAACCTTTTAGTATCTATATTGCAAACCACAATGCCCTAAATGAGAGAGAGAGAGAGAAACAGAGAGAGAAACAGAGAGAGAAGAGAGAGAGATGAAAAGTGACTGCCATAGAGGTAGGCTGATTGGTTTGAGAGTTTTGAGAGTTGTTGGGAAGGAAACTAGAGACACTGGTGCTGGGAAATGTACACCGGTGGAGGGATGGGTATTGGAAATTGTATGAATGAAACCTAATCACGAACAACTGTATAAGGGTCTATCTCACAGTGATTCAATAAAAAAAAATATCTTTCTAAAATATCACATAGAATCACTCAAGAAGATTCATGAGAGGAAAGATTCAGGGACAAAACAGAGAAAGGGGAAACATCAGAATCCCACGCAAGGCACTGACATAGTCACCACCAAGCGGGATTAAATGGTGTAAAATAGAAACTGTTCAGTCAGTGCCACTGATCCTGAAATGGAAGTAAAAGTTGTGCCCCTTAACATAAGTATTAAATGACAGAGCCCCAAATTTTTCCTACTGAGTCATATCATCACAAATTTATAACTAAAATTTTGAGTGATAAAAACACAAATGAAATAAACTAACTTGTGCAGATGATTCGAAGTATCAATTTTCTTTTGGAGTACATGACCACTGTATTGATAAGTCTATGGTAGTGAGAGTAATAGATACCAGACACAGATGCTAAGAAAGGCCATTTATCAAGAGCTGAGCATTACATTCCAGTTGCTGCCAGATAGTGGTAAACACAAGTCACCTGGCAGTACGAGGGACAGTTAGGTGGCATAGCTGTTCTTAGGATTCACAACTGCAATCCAGTAGATGCCCAGGTCTTCTGGACTTTGAGACCACAGCAACAGCTAAGCATAAGCAACTAAAAACCCAGGATCATAATCCAGGCTCAGTAGTCTTCAGGGCTGTAGTTGCTAAACAACCACAAATTTCTGGCAGTTATTCAGGTCCATACAAATGCGTAGACATAGTCATTGTCTTTGGAACTTGCTATCATGAGCTCACAAACATCACCTTTGAACTTAAACCTTAACCCCTAAAAAAAAACCCTTAACCCCAAATCCTCACATAGCTCCAAGATAATGAAGGAAGAAAGAAATTCATCTACGT